AGTTTTTTGCTACACATAAAAGACATTTTTCAAAGAAAGTTTAGCCTTTGTCACTAATGAAACCACAATATAAACAAAGAAATGTAGAAATCTAAAGAGTTTTTTATTCAATGTTGGTAGCAGGAATAAACTCTCAGGTTGAGCTAAGTGTATCTTTTGTCACAGAGTTGCTGCAAAATGTTAACAGTGAAAACAGGTATTTTTAAATGACTCATTTCAATAATAAGACTTTCAGAATAATTATAAATCTAGCAGGATAGAGAAAGTACAGAAAATAGGTAGTTAGATTGATCAGATTAGTATGCAAAGCCATTTAGCAAAGAGGGTGTGTGAAGAGTATACAAACTAGTATACTTTAGATCTTTTTTTCTGAACCAGGGAAAATCTGGTCATGTTTCTCTGTAACAATAAAAAACTTTATTTTACATTGCACCTTTAAAAGTAGCATCTCAAAGCAATACAGTAGGTGTAAAAACAGTTTTAAGGACCACAGATTACAAAGTTAATACATATAAGAAAGACAAGCAGTTAGAAGTGATACCAAAACTTAAAAAATGAAGCAGAGACAGACACTAAATAAGTAAGGTGGGTAGCTGTGTCAGCATGTGTAGTCTGCAAAGGAACAAGTAATAGCTTTATTCCATGCTGAAAAGAGAAGAGAGAAAACACAACGTTTTGGATAAGTCTTCTGAAAAGAAAGGTTTTGAGGTTAGATTTAAATGCACTCAGGTTGGGTGACTCTGATATCACTTGAGGATACAAATCCAGAGCTCTGGGGTGCTGCTAGAGAAGGTCCTGTCACCCATAGAATGTAGATGTTCTTGAGGACAGCTAGAAGAACAGAGTCAGATGGACAAAGGTTGCAAGGTGGGGAGTAGACAGATAATATGCCAGATACAGATGCAGCCATTCAAAACAAGTGGGGTACGCTGCGGTAAAACATGTTGGGCGTGTCACATTACAATACATTATACCATATAATACCGCAGTTATGATAATAGTATCCAGAATCACTGCCAGGTGGAGCTAATAAAGCTTAATCTCTCATGTACAGCATTTGAGCTGTCCCCAGAAAACGCATGGTTTCAAATCTGAAGGACAGTCTTTTTCCAAATAAGAATTTAAGTTGTATTTTTAGACTTTTAATAATTTTAAATGCTGTATTACATAATGTTAATCAGTAAATGTTAAAAAGTCGATATATTTAATAAAAGCAAGATTGCTCAGTTGGACAAAAGTACACAACCTACCACCTTTATCATAAATATTTTAATGATGTAGTAAACATTTCTTTGAAAAACTGCTACTGATATTATTACTGACAATAAATATTATTGACACTCTATTTTCATTACAAACATGCATGTAATGTCGGCCGTACGGCATATGCGTTACTGAAGCTGAAAGTTTAGCCTTTGTCACTAATGTAACCACTAAATAAAGACATAAATATAGAATTCCTTGCATTACAAACTGTATGTGGCTGGTATTCCTAGTTTAAAGAAAAAATACACACCAGTACACCACTTTCTTCCTAAACATTTTAAGCATCAAAGTCTTACATGTGGTTATTTTGGAAACATTTTTACAATGGGTACGCCTGTTTTGCAATGGGTCAGCTGCACTAGTCAGCGGCTTTCCTAGTCCCCGCCCTGACCACTACTACTCCCGTCCTGCCCAGGACTTTTTTTTAAAGGGGCACTATGTACAAAGTTTACACAGTTCAGAACACGTCCGAGAAACAATAATAAATATTATCAACACTATATTGAATTTGTTGGAATTTCTAAATATAACAAAATGTTCAAAGTTAAGTGATTACCAAATCCTTTTCGCTTGGCAATCTACCTGAACATAGAGCAAGTGGTCTCGTAACTCTAGGAGGTCTCCCGAAAATGCTACAGGCGTGCCAAAATCGTTTTTGAACTTCAAGATAACCTTACCGTGGTTGACAACCGAAGAAAAAAATGATTCTGAAAAAGTTACAAGAAGTTTGAAATTATTATTAGCTTAATACTGTTAAGAATGACAAGACACATTATTACTGTTTCAGTGGTATTTTTAATACTGCTTTGTTATTCTTGATTCTAATTACAATATATACGATTACATTTTAAGGCTTGAGGTGTCTGTTAAATTGCCCCACTGAATAAAGTGTTTTGAATTAAACCGATTGAACAGCTGTTAAGAATACTATAGTTTTTGATAACACAACATAGCTTTGTCAGTGAAAAAATAACTGTGGGCACTTTTCCTCCCCCTCTACATTCTCAGAGTAGAATAGGCAAACCTTCCAATTAAAGACAGTCCCCCTTCCCCCTACAGACAGACTAACAAATGTTTTCACGGCCTTCACTCCAGTTACCCAGACTGTAGGCACAGAAATAAAGCTTTTTTTAATTTCTGAAACCCTTTCTTTATGTCCTGTTTTAATTCAGGTAAGGGCTAACTATATTCATATTAATATATATATTTAATACAGTAATACTACCAGCTAAATAAATACACCTCAAACTGTAATAGTTTAAAATGATTAAAAGTCTAAACAGTATACAACTTGAATACTTATCTCTATTAATGTAACTATCAAGTGGTTATAAAATAAATACATATTTTTTGTATAGATGACACTTTTCTAAAATTTATTAAAAAACTATTACAATCTAATCTTTCCACATGCATTCCCATGAGGAAGTACAATATGCTCCTGCTTTGTTTAACGATGGTATGAAAAATAAATCTAAATGGTGAGAAAGCTATGCTTAAAGTTAATTAAGGGAAGAGAAAGATTAACGATTTACATTGCATTGTCAGATTGTGAATCAAGTAAAGGCATTTAATTAAACTAAAATTAAATCAAAATGGGGGTAATGGGGTTAGACTATTACACATGCAATACACTTCCTTGTGATCATCTTAGAATCTTTGTATAAGCTGTAAGTTTTTTTTTACTTTTTAATTAAACATTTTAAACACTTTAATTTTGTTAGCGCAACACACATTTTGTACAGATACAGTGCAATAACATTCTTCTGTCTTCCTGTTGTGTAAAACAAATTAGCAGGTGATTGAGTTAACAATGCACCGCCCACTGAGTGGAATATTCTTAAGTGTAACTCTTAAGTTTACAGAGAAATTCCGCCAGACCCTCACAACCTCCAATAATACTCTTCTTGTGTCTAATTGCCCAGCCTACTGGTAGTGGGAGCACAGCCTGTCCTACAGACCATTTAAGCTAAAGACCATAAGAAAAAAAACAGGATTCACTTTTTTCTGTCTCTTTTCTCAACTGCTGTGATTCGGGCACAAAACGGTTAAAAAGAGATCAGACAGGCAGAGGGAAGAAGGGGCAGGGTGCAACTGTTACCTGTCCTGGATAAAGCGGTTAGAAAATAGGTGAATTTTCACCTGTGAAAAGCGTTCTAATTTTAAAAATTTAATGTGATAATAAAGATATTATTCATAATAAATTATCTTGGACGGTCTGTGAATTGAAAATTTATAGAGGAGATATGTTGTGTATTGCCTCGTTTTACACTTATATTCCAATCTAAATGCGACACTGTAGATATTATTAATAATATAACATATTTACAAAGAAAGTGGAATACAGTAAAACTACCAGCTATATAAATACATATACAGTATTTAGATCCTTAAATGAATATCGTTATAATTCTATACTTGACACTAGATCTTGTTTATATTAAAGTTATATCACTGGGCGGTGGCTAGCCTCAAGACAGCACTGCCAGAGCACCACAACTTCATAACACTCATTTTTCGATACTGTAGTTTGAGTCTTTGTGTAAGCTGTAAACTGTAATATTCCCTATTAATGAAATTCTAAAAGTATTTTGTTTATTCCAATAACGAGCGTATTCGCAGAAAAGGTTAAAGCATTATAACTTTTCATAAAGTATATAAACGTAATATGGTCAGAAGACATGTAAAGACTTTGATGCTTAAAATGTTTAAGAAGAAAGTGGAATATCGGTGTGTATTTTCTATTTAAACTACCAATACCAGCCATATACAGTTTACATAGTATGGTTATGTTACTAAATTAATTTCATTTATGACCTTCAGACGCATTATGCTCCTCTTCTTTATATGCTCAGCTACTAAAATTTCCCGTTAGTTGTAAAATTCCATATAAATATTCAATGCTAAGTGGATTAAAAACATGCACAGTAAAGAGATTAAATGATTAAATTGATTCACTAACAACCAATGCACCACGAATGCCTCTGTTGGTAATTTTGGCTAGTCAAGTCACGTACCGCATTACACCGTGGTGAACTGTGGGTAATTTTGCATAGTATGTGGTTGTACCATGCATTTTGAATGGCTGCATCTGTACATGAAAGCAGAATAAATTGCTTTCAGGTAGCTTCCAAAAACAATAGGATTTTGATTTTCCTGAGGCCCAGACCAATAAGACACAAGCTCCCCAGTCCCATATGTCAACTTTTTCTCACTACATTCCAGCCAGTTTTTACCCCACCTTAGCTTATTCATAAATGAAACTAATCTAATATATTGATAATTATCTTGATGCCTAAATAATTTGACAATGATATGAACTGTATCTTGTTGAGCTGTGTTAACATTGTGTTAAGCGTGTTTAAAAGCAGTTTGCCAGGTATTATTACATTATAATATGCTAAAATAAAATAGCAATACAGCTGTAAACTGCTTTTTGGTTTAACAAGACTTTCAGTAGCAGTAAAAACTAGTTTAAGGTGAGTGTTTTTTAAACATTGCTAACTCTCTGTGCTGTAAAACCATTTTCTGTGCAAATGTAGCCCATTAGTCAGTGGAACCAACATCTGCATAGATTTTCAAATGATAAATTTAATTTTCTAGCAAAATTTGAAATGACTGAGCTGGTATGAAATAACCAATAATGTTCTTTTCAGATAGTAATTTACATCGCCACAGCGTCATTTAAACTAAAAGGCACAGCTAGTAAATTCTGCCTGCTTTGGTGGCTGCAGGTGGATTCTCAGTGGTGTTCCTGGCCCGGACTCATGGTGGAGTGCGATGTGCCTTGAAGAGAATGTATGTCAATAATCTACCTGACCTGAACATCTGCAAGAGGGAAATCACTATCATGGTAAGAGACAGGGATTGTACTAAAAAATTCAGTTATCTTAAGCATAAATTGTGTAGCAATGTTGATTTTATTTTACTTAATTGTCTACAGCGTTACGTTATTAAAATCATAAACACTTATTTTAATGTATTTTGAATGTGTGTGCTGCATAAGCTATTCTGATATACCTCTATGTTTCAAATGCCTCTCTTATCTTTATATTTGCATTTACACATTGAAGTACAAACACTCTTGGACCTGAGGTGAGTACTGTTGAGTACACACACTGTAAGCCAGAAGGAATCATTTAATGCATTTTAGTTAATTACATTTTCAAATCAGTAATTTTTGAAGCCCATTTGTGTACAAGATGTTTTTTGCTGAAACTATTAAAGAGTTAACAGTTGGAAAATGGTTTAAGCTTCACAAATACTGTTGTTCTCAAATACACTTGTTGCTTCAGCTTTTTTTTTTTTCTTTGTGTGTTTCAATTAATGTGTTTGACTTCTCTATTCAGATTATTTGAGGTGCTGGTAGTCAGTTGCCTAAAACAGAATATGAAGAGTTCAGGAAAATGACACTGTAGGTGACTCCATTGTCCCTTTGTTACTGTAAATTATTACAGTAAATTATTACTGTAAATTGATGAACAGAGTGTGATTGAGCTATCAAAATGGATGTCTTGCTTATGAGAACAATTGAGCAATACACTACAGTAAGACTCTTTAATAATTTTAAAAATGAAATTAAACTGACCACAATTTAAAAAATATATGAAAAAAAAGTATTGTATTCTTAGCCACCTTTTCCCTTATTTTTAATGTATTTTTTTAATGTTTTTTTAATCTTATCAGAAGAAACCTTGGTTAAGAAAGTTGTAGTAGCTGTGTAATGAAAAGATTTGTAATGTAGTTTAGTTTTTGTTTGTTATTATTTTTTGCAAAGGATGTTCAAATCAAATCTTTCATTGTTTTTTTTTTTCAGATGTAATCCTTAGCAATCAGCAGTGCTTAATGTGTATTGGCTAATTGAATGTAAACTACAACAAATGTATTTGTTGCACAGCTTGTTATCCTCTGTCCATTGTGACCAAACAATGTTCCAGAACTGTTTTTTAATGGTTTTCAGTTGCTTTAAGGTGAGTGAATAAAGGTTTGAATATGAAATTTAGTGAATTTAAAATTCTGAAACATTTTTGTTTTCTGTAGAAAGAACTTTCAGGTCACAAGAATATAGTAGGCTACCTGGACTCTGCCATAAACTCAGTTGGTGATAGTGTGTGGGAGGTTCTCATTCTCATGGAGTATTGCAAAGGTAAGAACTACCATACATGACCATTCAAGTAACATACTTCACTGATGTGGTATTACTCTGGTAATACCAATACTTTAAGGAAGACAGACATGTAGCCCTTCAAAATGTGTGATAAAACCCTGTACTGCAGTAGTTGAACTACAAGCTACCGCGATACGTCATTCACTGGCCAAAATGATCGACAGGTGGCACTTGTGGTACATTACCTGTTTGTGAAACGATTGCTTCATTTAATTTCTCCTCTTTGCATGTATAAATCTGCTTAATATGAAATTTTACAACTAGAAGGAAATTTTGGTAGCATAGCATAAAAACAACAGGAGCATAACGTCTCTGAACATCATAAATTATATTAATTTTGGAATATAAATATACAAACTGTATATGGATGGTACTGGTAGTTTAAATAAAAATACACAACAGTATCCCACTTTCTTTTGCATTTCATACATCAAAGTCTTTCACTCGGTCAAATTTTGACTATATTAAGTTTATATACTTAATAAGAAGCTATTATGTTTTAACCTTCTCTATGAATACTTGCGCTCACTATTGTAAATCACGTGCTTTTTAGAATCCGCTTAATAGGGAATTTAATATGGAATCGCGTATCTAAAGAAATTAATAACAATATTAATTTAAGGATCTAAATCTAATATACTGTATTTATATAGCTCAAAGTATAACTGTAAGCCACTTTCTTTGTAAACGTCTGCATCAGTTTGACTCATTCACTCCTGATTACTTTGGAAACATCTTGCATCTTGCATCTTGCTTTTCAGTTATAGCTTAAGTTTCTGAGTGGCACATTGGTACAATGGCTTCAGTGCCTCTCTGTGCATGCTGGAAGCCCGTGTTTGATTCCTGTTCAGGGCATGAGTTTTCCTTTAACAAATTAATTAAAAAAAAACTAAAATAGTATTATGGACACACTATATTGATTTTTTTGGGTATTTCTAAAAATCACAACGTGTTCAAAGTTAAATTATATTAACAACATAAACAGTCAAATGTGAATACTGTGGGATTTAAAACTAGTTCAACTGGTTTAATTCAAGTCAATTCAGAATGCCCAACTTGAATGAATAAGGTAATTAAAGACAAGCCTTTACAAGAAACCTTCAAACTAAATGTATATATTATAATTATGAGAATAACAAATCAGTATTAAAAAGACCACTGAAACTGAACTATAATAACGTATCTGATAATTATTAACAATATAAATGTATTACTAAGACCTAATAATTTCAAACTGCTTGTATTATGAAATTGTGTTTTGTTCAGGGTGATCTGTCACTGTTTTTACAACCTTTGCTTTCTTATTAAAACGCCTATTTTTGAGGTGTGACGACCTCTCTTTCATTTGTTAAACTCCCTCAGCACACATTATTTTACATGTTCAAGCATCAGTTGAAGCATTCTGAAGTCTGTCAAAATCGTAAAAAATGTAACCAAATAGTGTAGTTGAGACTGCTACCTTTCCTGGATACGTTGGTTAGAAAATAGACTGGTGGATTAACACTTGTAAAAACGTTCCACTTTTAATGCGATATGGAAGATATTATTAATAATATTAATAATGAATGACCTTGGATGATCTGTAAGCTGAAGAGTTATAGAGGAGACGCATGGAGTATTTTCTTTTCAGCTTCGAATTACCTTTTACATATTCCATTGCAGCCAATTTATGTAACGCAGCTCTGCGCTTCTTTAACAAACATTTTATTTGTCGCATAGGATAGGAGTGTTACACCTTGCTGTGTTATGTAACATAGACAGTTTTGCTTGGGGGATGGGGATGGAATTTTCAGTAGGATGCCCTCTCTTGTCATTGTTTGCTGTGCTTTAAGGCAATCAGAAATCAGATGTCCTATTTAAAAAAAAATGTTTTTCTATATTGTAGTTTTAAAACTTGAACATAGACATGCCTCATGCAAACAGCGTGATGCTGTATGGTTTTAAATACACTACAGTATTGGTTGTGGGAAATCCATGTATTTTGTACTTTATCAAAATGTACCTCGGTCACAGCGCCTTAGATTACAAAATGAGCGTTTCATTATTTATTGCAAAATGCTGCTGCTTCACCCACTGGGCTATGAGCTTTGAGTCACCTACTTCTTCGACTAGCTTGGAGAGAAATATCTAAAGAAATTAACTGTCTAGCCATTGCAAAGGGTGCAACTGCAGCAGCCACAAAGATATAAAAAATACCACTTTTTTTCTCCTGATCATAACTGTAACAAATTGTCACGTTTCACTTCCTTGTGTAACACTCATGACGTTTCCAAAATATGAATTTATTGATATAGATGTATGTATTTAGCTGGTTATATCAGGGTATTTAAATGTTCAATTCACATTCATGTTCTCATAGCGGGCTACTGGGGTCCCCAACCCCTGGACAGACAAAGGTGATAAATGTGTTAAAAATTCAAAGGGGTACCTGTGGCAGAGTTCATGTGGCATGAGCGCCTATGAACAGCAGCAGCACCTGTGTCGATGTTAATGTTTTTATTATAAATATAATAATAATTATTAACAATGATTAACAAATAATATAATGAATTTCAAGAAGATTAACTACAGAACGTCTTCTTTTTTTGTTTCAGCTTAATGGGGCACATATAAAGTAAAATCAGTCAGGATCTCAGAGTTTCGCATAACATTTCGCATAACAAAACTGTGAAAGAAGCAGACCCTAAATTTAGATTGGGTATCTCCATAAGTGTCCGGACAGTTCAATGACATAAGCTGCAATACAGTCAGGCAGACCGATTTTAAATTCTTCAAGCAAAATTAGCTCTTTAAGGTTTGTCAAAATCAGATTAAGCTAAATTTAGATTTGTATCTGTTGTAAATCTAAATACAATAGCTAATATAACTGAGGTTCTACTGTTTACATTTTAAGCTTTTAAAGTCATGCAATGTCTAAGTTAGGCAGTTAGTCATTGTTTCTTATTTTTGATTTTCTTTAAAAATGTTTAAAACATCAGCTTCCCATTTTCACCTTGCCATAACTTGCCATAGCACATTTGGGGGCTTGTCCAGGATCTTTGATTTGTTTTGTGGAGCCGATATTTTTTCCTTGGTTCACGTGTGCTGCACTTGGGGTTGCTTCAGTTTGTAGTGGTCCTTTGTATTAAAGGTATTTTGGTACTACAGTTTGTATTATGGGTAATTGTGGTGTCCATTATGGCATTTAGTTTAGAGCATTTTACTCTGCGCATTTACTTTGGAGCAGTTTGAGAAATCTTGCAAGGCAGATGTTTTATCAATAGCGGGTTTTAGTCCTATCGGTTTTCTGGGGACATATCAAGTGTTAAACTGAGGAAGGGATACACCCCCACGTCTCAGACAGACAAAGGTGATAAAAGTAATAAAAATCCATTCAAAAGGGTGCAGTGTGTGAGCCTCTTGTGAGAGCAAGGTGACATTCTTTTAAATTAAATGAGAGCTACAGTACAGTCAAACAGATTTTAAATTATTTTAGCAACATTAGCTGTTTGTCACATTCACCTACTTTGCGAAGTACATGACTTCTGAAAAGGTACCTTTTTCTCTCGTGCAAACTCATAAAAAGTTTATTTTTTATAATTCTGAAACGTGGATGGTATGCCTCAGGGACTCTCACACACACACAAATCCCATGAAGTCATATCCAGATATACCGAAATAGTAGCACACATGGCAATGAACTGCAGTAAGTTCATATACTGTATAAGTATACTGTATATACAGTATTATACCGTATTGTTTCAAAGCTGCTACAGTACAGTATGTTGAATTTTTAAAAAAAAATCCAAATTAAAGTTCAATTTCTCGTTGCTGAAATTTGTATTAAGACAAAAGATAGATGTTCTTAATGCGGATGTAAACCTGAAAGAGGCACATTGCGCTCACAACAAGCTATAATAAACTATTTTCACATCCGGCTGTGTAATAAAATATAGCCAAAAGGATCACTCTAAAGATTCAATTCCAAGCCAAAAAGACAAGTCTCTATGTGTCTTCTCTGTAACTCCAGTATTAAGGCTCGTCCATGTTAATTCATTATTAATATTATTAATTATATATTCTGTATAGCATTTAAATAAATTGGAACATTTTTACAAATATAACAAGAGGCTATATACAATGTGTCTCCTCTTTAACTCTTCAGTTTACAGAATATGTTGTTTAAAGTTTTAAATTTAAAGTTAAATTGTTGGCTGATTACTGCCTGCTGAAATTTGGATTAAGACAAAACAAAGATTTTCTCAATTTGGATGTAAACCTGAAAAAGACGCATAATGTTCGCAACAAGCTATAATAGTGGACTATTTTTATATATTCGCCAAAGTAAAGAAACAAACTGAAAGTAATTCTCTGATCGGGCTTTGAACCTCCTGGGTGCAGAGTGCTACATTACAGTCCATTGCCCATTACAACTATAAGGATATATAAATGTCAAAATGTTTCCTAAACATCCACTTGTGATATTTTACCTGTTTAGTTACATGATTCCATATTAATATTACTATCAAGTGGTATTAACTCAGTACAGCTTTTTTTTTTTCAAATAACAGCAAGTGGTGTTCTTACTACGTATTCTTAGAAAAAGGATAGAACATTATAAACATTATAGAACTTTTTATGAAGTACAGTATATAAACTTTATAAAGTTAGAATAAGCACGTTAAAACCACAACACAAGTGTACAAGTGCGCGGTACACACACGTACTGGAGGTAATTGGTTACGGCGTCGCGGATTGTGACGCACGATTACGCGCGGTACCGCGGTACGCGATAGGTTGACCGACAGGGGCACTCGTGGTCCGTTGGTCTGTCGTAGAAAGATTTACAGTAAACGTCTTTACTGTGCCCGTTTTAGTATTGAATATATGGAATTTTACCACTGAAGGGAAATCTTAGTACCTGATCCTAAAAAGAATAGGAGCATACTGTAACGCGTGTGAAGGCCATAAACGATATAAATTTTGGAACTTAAACATAC